TATTTCCGACCCGGACAATTTTAGGGGTCTACACCATTTAATCTTCTATGGCAATTTGAAATTTCAGTAATAAAAATAGACTTCACCAAACTCAAGAGTCTACGAAAACTTGTGAAGTTTTACTAGACACTAGTTACTTATTATAAAGATAACATTAAAACTATGCATAACATAATATTTTTAACAAACCAATAATTTAACATTTCAACTTCATAAAAAAGCAAAGTAATAAACTACAGTAATAAAGTGTTATAGTACATTGATAAATAAGACTAAACTACATAAATGATAATTTCTTAAGAACATAAGTTCTTAAAGTGAAGATATATAAAAAAATGAGTTGATTTCTTTCAATCATTTGAGTCATAGTTAACTCGTTTTCGCTACTTATTATAAATTAGTAAGAGTTTACTAGCATACCCTATTAACTTATTTAAAATCATATTTACATTAATAATGTTGATTAGACCAATAAATTTAATTTTTAAGAAGTCCCAAATTTATTTTTTAAAATATAATTAGCTCAATATTATTAAAATTTAAAATTTAAAAGAAATATAGGAGAAAAAAGTGAATCATTTTCTATTGAAAGGATAATTCATGTGTAAGCATGTATATTAATCTACACTCACACACATGTCGTAAGCTTATAAACTTATAATGAAAAGAAAATAATTGTATAAAAAAGATTTTAAATATTGATAATTTATTTTTATTTTATAAACTTATTTATTTATATTTTTAATAATATAAACATGTTAACTTTTTATTATATTATTAAATAAAGTTATTTTTAAAATATAATTTTTAATATTAATAAAATTCAAATTTTAAAAGAAATTTAGGAAAAAAAAGTGAATTATTTTCTATTAGAGAAAAAATTCATGTTTAATCGTATGTTTGAGATACTCTCACAGGTACAACCTTCTAAGTCTATAATAAAAAAAGACAATTGTATAAATTTGACATACTTTCATGTATAGCTTGTAAGTTTATAAATCTATAATAAAAAAAGATAATTATATTAAAAATATTTTAAATATTAATAATTTATTTTTATTTTATAAATTTATTTATTTATATTTTAATAATATATGTATATTAATTTTTATTATATTAAATAAATAAATAGGCTGACTTATTAAGTATAACAAACTTTTTTACAAGTTTAAACTTAGGCTTTTTGTACAATTAGATTTTTAAATTGAACTTTTCCTTTTAATTAAATAGACTAGCCTAGACTTTAAAAAAGTTAAGTCATAAACTTTTTTTTAAAATCTAACCTATTCTCATTCATATTCACAATCAAATACAGTGTAAGAGTGTGTTTGATTATTTGTTTCAAAGTATTAAAATATGTGTTTTTACTTTTTAATGCATAAAATCTAAAATTAAATTTAAAAACAACAAAATTATTACTTTAATAAAAATAGATTGAATTAAACTTAATATTTATTTAAACACATACTTTAGTCTAATGATCTCCAATATCTTAATTATATTTTTAATAATATAAATATATTAATTTTTTTATTATATTATTAAATAAATTTATTTTTAAAATATAATTTTAATATTATTAAAATTTAAATTTAAAAAAGAATTAGGAAAAAAAGTGAATTATTTTCTATTGAAAAAAAATTCATGTTTAATCGTATGTTTGAGGTACACTAACGTACATGTTGTAAGTTTATAAGTCTATAATAGAAAAAGACAATTGTATAAAAATATTTTGGAATATTAATAATTTTTTTTATAAATTTATTTGTTTATTTATATTTTTAATAATATATGTATATTAATTTTTTATTATATTATATAAATAAATAGGCTGATCTATTAGATCTAACAAACTTTTTTACAAGTCTAAGCTTTGTCTTTTTATATAAATAGATTTTTTTTAAAATAAACTTTTTATTTTAATTAAATAGACTAGATTAGACTTTAAAAAGGTTAATAAACTTTTAATTAAGATCTGACCTATTCATATTCATACTCATAACCAAACAAATATAGTGTAAGAGTGTGTTTGACTAATTGTTTCAAAGTATTAAAATATGTATTTTTACTTTTTAATACATAAAATCTAAAATTAAATTCAAAAATAACAAAATTATTACTTTAATAAAAATAGCTTAAATTAAACTTAATATTTATTGAAACACATACTTTAATCTAATGATCTACAATATCTTAATAATAAAAAACAATAAAATTCTTCCACCTTAACTAATATGTAGTGGTACATAGATATAACAAGTGATAAAAAAAAGTATATAAGAAGTAAAACTAAGATGAAAGAGAAAGTTAATGATATTTATAATCTTTTTAAGAGAATTTATTATTTGCGGCTGTTTAGGAGTGTGGGTGGTCCTTTCACTGTGTCTATCCTGTATTAGTCTGTCCTATCTTGTCCTGTTTGCTGTCATAGTCTTTTCCAGTAGTACATGCTGGGAACCTCACAAAGTCACGGACATTAAAGCAGTCAATTTGCAAACATACACGCTAAAATGATGCCTCCTAATATCTTATTGTTAAGAGTCACTGCCCCCACCCTGTCACTCTGAAAAAGAAAATTTGGAATCTGACATTTCTTTGGAAAAATCCTCCACCATTATAAATTGTTTGTGTTGCTTGTCGACCGTGAGAAATATAGTGCTTTATTGGTTAACTGTACAAATAAATTTGTTAACTATTAATTTCCATAATTTAATTAGATGATTAAGGAAGTGTTTTGGCAAATAACTTCAATGTTCATTTGTTATGCTCTTGTCTTATGTAATACATCTGAAAATTTATTGGAATAAGCTAAAATGAACTCATTTTATAAAATCTATACAAATACATTTATTAATTTTAAGAATACAGAGGTATGGTTGGAAAAAGGCAGATGATAAACACACCTCCACTCTCGTATAAATACACCTCCTTTTTTAAAAAAAATATATAAAATATTTAAATTACCCTTAAAAAAATAAAATTCCTAAATTTACACCCCCTTCCCCACATCTCACACCCCCCTTTCCCGCACCCCCACAGAAATAATGTTCACCATGGATTTCGATGAACACTATTTGGCAATTCACACAGATAGAATAACAGAATCCCCTTCACTCTGCTTCCACTTTCCGCGCTTCTCCTCCTTCCTTCATTTTCTCCTCATGGCCTCACCACGCATCTCGCCCTTCCCCTTCCGTAAGTCCTTCTTATCTGCCGTTTCATATCTGAGAATCAAATATTAAAGCCACACGCATTTTCACTCTTAATTTTGTGAATTTCGTCCTTTTTGAGTTTGTTATTACGATCGTTAATTTGATAGCTGTTTAATTTGTGTATAGTTTGTTCAAGTGCGGTATTTTTCGATGTACAAAAAATATCCAACCAAACAAAAACAACGTGGATGGGGATGATCGTCAATAATCACGCAAGGAAAAAAACAACCATTGCTTCGCTCAAAATCAAAACAAACAGTGTTCATCGACAAATCCATGGTGAACATTTTTTCTGTGCAATGTGTGTGCCAGCAGCCACGCTCGTCGCAATTGGGGTGGGCCTCGTGCTTTTGGGGAACAATAGAGACCTGGCCACTGTAGAGAAACTGGGGGTGCAATTGCGGCTACAATGTTTGTCACTTTAGGAAGAAGGGGGGTGTGGGGTGTGGGGTGTGGGATGCAGAAAAGGGAGTGTAAATTTAAGAATTTTATTTTTTTAAGGGTAATTTAGATATTATATATATATTTTTTTAAAAAGGGGGTGTATTTATACGAGAGTGGAGGTGTGTTTATCATCTGCCTTGAAAAAAAGGTACAAATAGTTGAGCCCATAAGCAAACCCAAGCCCAAACATGATTAGATTGGGTCCAAAATACTGTTAAAGCAAGTCCAGCAGTGATGCACCCAAGACCCTACGTTTCACGGTTTGAGGTTGAGTGACCCCGAAGTGAACAATTCATAAAAGAGGAGTAGCTTGATAACAAAAGTGTTATCCGAAATAATCACAAGCCCCTTAAGCTCTCTCACTCACCATGTTCCTTCTCCCATCCCCCTCCTCTTCCTACTTAACAAAGCACCAGGATACTTTCTGTTTTGGCGGTCCCTCTCATCCTTATACCGGTAGCCAAACAAGCCGCATCTGGTGTGCGAAGAGAACCGGGAAACGGAGGTACCCGTCCGAGAAGAAGAAGCTGAGGACAAAGCACAAAGAGCTCTTATCCGATGCTAAGGAGAAGAGCAAGTTTGAGGGTACATGGAGGCTCTTCAAGCTCGCCGTTCCACTCGATCAGGACCCTGGCAAGGACTTTCTCCGTGTTTCCGATGGTCTTCTCCAAGAAATCGCCAAAGTTCTCAAGTTCCCGGTATTGGAAACCCTTCCTCGTAAGAAAATTAGTAATTTGTCTTCTTTCGTTCTTCAATTGATGTCCGTGTTTTTGTCAGGTTGCTTCCTTGTTGCCACCAGAAGCTTTCACGGTCGTGAGGAAGTCCTTTGATGCTAGGAAGGTATGTATATGTAATTATTATGTAGGTTGCAAATGTTCAATGACAATGATAAACTAACATTCACTCATCGCAATTTGTATATGCATTTCATTTTTTGTCAATTATAATAAGTTTTGAATTGTGTTGTGATTGCTGACATTGCCGGCAAATGTGGCTGACATGGCCACAGTGACAGTTGCTATGCAGTTGTGCAGAAATTCATGTTAATTAAGAAGAAGACAGTGCAGTTTCTTCGAACTTTCCAGTATAATTATGTTTAAAACAGAGAAACAAATGCCCATTTAATCTTCTATGATAATTTGAAATTTCATAGTAATAAAAATCCTCAAGAGTCTACATAAACTTGTGAAGCTTTACTAGACACTAGTTACTTATTATAAAGATAACATTAAAAACGTTATTAATAACATATATGCATAACATAATATTCTTAACAAACCAATAATTTAACATTTCAACTTCATAAAAAGGCAAAGTAATAAACTACAATAATAAAGTGTTATAGTACATTGGTAAATAAGACTAAACTAAATAAATGATAATTTCTTAAAAACAAAAGTTCCTAAAGTGAAGATATATAAAAAATGAGTTGATTACTTTAAATCATTTGAGTCAAAGTTAACTCGTTTTCTCTACTTAGGATCATAAATTAAATCATTTGAAGGTGTCCATTTCAATTTGGATTGTCACAATTTAAATCATTGAATTTTCATCCTCTTATATTTTTATGCTGATGCTTTTTTAGAAATTAAAAGAGCCCAAATTTGTGCATACTGTGGACATGGATGTCAAAAAACTCATCAGTCTGGAGCCTCGTTGTTGGGACTTTATTTCACGGCTGGAGCCTAAAGTTGGCCTTGTGGAACCCGTGCATGATGGAATACATTTTGGTGATCTGACAAGTATCATTCGTGAAGGTAAAGAAAATAAAGAAGCTGTACTAAAAGGGGGAAATGGACATGGCATTTCCTCAACAGAGTTGTACAAGAACCAGGCTACTAGAAAGCCAAAAATTGCAGTAGTGGGTTGTGGGCCTTCTGGCCTATTTGCTGCTCTTGTTCTTGCAGAGCTTGGTGCAGATGTTACACTGATAGAAAGAGGTCAACCGGTAGAAAAAAGGGGGCGTGACATTGGTGCTCTTGTAGTTCGTCGAATTTTAGAATTGGAAAGCAACTTCTGCTATGGGGAGGTTGTACCATGCATCTTGATTTATTTCTTTGAATGATGGTTTATTGTCTTGGTAGTTGGTATTTGTTTCTGGATGTGTCTTACAAGGTCACAACCGCTTTCTTTTTTATTTTTTTTTAAGTTGTCAGGTTCTGAGAAATATGCTCTTTTTTTTTTTTTTTTTTTTTTTCAAAAGAAAACACATGGGAATATTCTTTTGAATCATTTTTGCAGCTTTGTTGCTAGTTGCAACAATTTGAACTTTCTCCAAAAAAGCCGGTGAACAAGGAGATGAATATGACATGTTATTTGAGTTAATGGAAATTATGTTTACCTTTTTAATGCTCATCTAGGCTGAAATATTTATCATTGCCAAGAGTTCTTAAAATGCTTATCAAAATCATAATCAAGATGATTGATAGATTTTGAGTTAAATATAGTTGGTGAGCTCATTTATTCAACTAGTCTTTCTTTCACACGAGTCTACTTGTTTATTTGCTTTGTCATTTATTAAGGACTTATGTGTGGCAGGGTGGTGCAGGTACCTGGAGTGATGGAAAGTTGGTAACCAGAATTGGACGCAACAGTGGCAGTGTTCTTGCAGTTAGTTTTCTTATATTGTTCATGCAGTTAGTAGATATGTGCATCCTGTGTATGGGTTAAATTGACCTATTTTGGTTGCAGACTTGTTAAGAAAGCATTGCTAACTGCTAAATGGTTTTCTTCTATTTTCCTTTTATTACTGTATTTTCATTTTCACACCATCAGATTCCGTATTCTTTGATACAGGACCCATATAGTCAATAATCTTGTTTATATTTTGGGTACCTATTAGAGGAGTTCAACCAAATATCAAGTGAAGGATATATGCTTTAAGTTTTAACCGTGTTCATGCAATTGGCTAAAGATATTGAAAAGAAATGGCCAAAATTCATCCTTAGACTGGTTGTTTCACTTGGCAGTCTAGTAATTGACAATAAAACAGCATTGCATGACCTTTGAAGTTTGGAGCAGGGATGCAAAATTGTTACCAAATATCTGTAATTGCTTGCTGCAACCAAGTCAAATAATAGTTGTAGACTTGGACTGGGATAACTGCATTACTTCTGGTTTATTGGCTGAGTCTTTCACAAAACAGGGACATCACTTCCTCTTCAATGTCTATAAGGATTGTTAAAAAAGAGAGAAAACTGAGACAAGATAGGCTGAAACTGTTTGTTTCAATGAAAGAACAAAGCAAGGTTTATATAGACTTATTATAATAATTAATAAATAAGAAAAGGGATCTGTTTATTCCACGAATAAATCTATATAAATTTACTCTGTTCAATAATTCATGTTCTACATCAAATTTCAACGATCCAGTCATTGAATTTAAAATTCTTAATGCATAGATCAAATATGTAAATTTAAAAAAAAATTGAAAACCATTTGATATTTCATTTAATTAATTCAAATTGATGGATAATCATAAAAATATTTTATCTGTTGAATTGAATTAATAAAATGAAGTATTAATTATTAAATAGTTTTCAAACTTTTTACAAATTTATAGACTTAATTTATATATTAAGAACTTTAAATTCAATGCTTGGATTGTTGAAATTTCTTAGAATAGTAGACTTGAGCTTAATTCAACCCTACAAAACCGGTTTGTAAGGTGAATGTTACTTTTCACTTATATATTATTTAATTGCTTAATCTCTAGTCGATGTGGGACTTGAGTTTTTTCCAATACATCCTCTAACGTCCAGCACTATTAGGCTTGGTACGTGTATAAATGGTGGGTGACCCTTTCTAATGATCTAGGATTGGCGAAACTTGAGTTTTTCTCAATACACTTCCTCATGCTCATAGTGCATGTATCAATGGTAGGTAGCCTATTTTAGAATGGATCTAGATGGCTCTGATACCATCTTAGAATAATGGATTTGAACCTAACGCAACCCTACAAAACCGACTTTCAAGGTGAGGGCTGTTTTCTACTTATATACTATTTAATTGCCTAATTTCTAGTCGATGTGGGACTTGAGTTTTTCCTAATAAAATTTAATGTAAAACATGAGTTATTGAATGAAGTAAGTTTAAATAGACTTATTCCTAGAGTAAATGAATCCTTCCTCAATATATAAAGAGATTATTATTTTTCATGTACACAACTTTTTAGACATATATACTCTTTTACTGTAGTTCATTCCTTTCTCAATTATGTATCTTTTAAGAATATATTTGAGAAAAGAGTATATACAAAACAAGTTAATTGCTTGCTCTATAAGGTAGCTTTAATTTAATATGATCTCAATCAATCTTTATATAACATGTTAGTTTTTCAATTTACAAGAAATAGTCAATAAAATTTGATTATATATCATAAACATCAGTTGAAAACATAATGATCTTGAACCACTTAATTTTTCACTCATAACATTAAATATTTAATGACTCATTCATTTTTCTCATCCTCATACTCAAATAACACATTATATATATAGAGGGATATGTATATATATAATTTTAAAAAAATTGGGGCCATGGCTCCCCTATGTCCTCAACAAGATCCTCCCTTGAAGGTGTTTAATTAGGCATGTTATTTGTAGTTTGTGGACAAAGAATACTCTTAATTGGAGAGTTTTTCTCTGGGACAACTAGTGTATTGTTATATTGTGTGTGATTTCTGTGTTCAATATAGTTGAAGAGTTAGACCTTGTTTGGATAAATTTTTTTTATTAACACTTCTACGAGAAGAAAAATGAAATTAACTTCTCTATAATCTAAAATTAACTTCTTCATTAGTTAAAAATCAGCTTTTAAAGAAGAAAATATGAGAAACTTTTACAATCATTCTCCTTAGTTTTGAAAAATTGCTCAGCTGAAAAACCACTCAGCAGGCCATATAAGTATTTACATTTCAGAATTATTTACATTTGAGAGTATATATAAGCGCAAATCCCTAAGTACCTAAGATAAGCCTTATTGATGAAGCTGAACATTCTTGAATCCTAGACTTTAATGCAGTGATTCTCAATAGATAAAGGTCTGTTTCCAAAAATATTATATTTTATTGGCTCATCAATTGTTCTATTCTACCAATGCCTAGGTTGTTATATATCTCACTGAATAGCTGACTTGATATCTTCATTTTTAGGTTATGAGAACTCTAGTGCAGTTTGGAGCTCCAGAACAGATATTGATTGATGGAAAACCTCACTTAGGAACAGATAGGTTGGTTCCGTTACTTCGCAACTTTAGGCAACATCTGCAACATTTGGGTGTGAGTTCCAATAACTTCCTTGTATTGAAAATAAATTCAAGTCATTATAGTTTTCCTTGCAGTTGTCAGTTGTCTTCATCTTGTCCGATTAACACTACTAGTCTACTGCCTCTTTTGTCTAGGTCACCATAAAGTTTGGGACAAGAGTAGATGATTTAGTTATAAAAGATGGACATGTTCTTGGGGTTATGGCATCTGAATCAGCTGATAAATTACATTTAACAAGTCAGAAGATGGAATATGATGCAGTTATTCTGGCTGTTGGTCATTCTGCTCGTGATATATATGAAGTGCTTCTTGCTCACAATGTGGAGTTAATACCAAAAGATTTTTCTGTGAGTATATTGACATTCTATCTTATGCTTTATTTTAATTTATTAACTTTCGGATTCTTGTATTCATAACACTTATCTTTTCGCATATCCCCATACAAGATTTGTGTATCCCTAAAACAGTTCCAACTTCCAAATGTAGAATTTATCCCATACAAGATTTGTGTAGAATTTATCCCAGATTCATGTGGATTTATTTTAATTAGATGGTTCAGATTTTGTTCAATATTCAACATTTGACATTAGAAATTGTATGATATTCTTGTCTGTCCCATGTTTGTGTCTTACATTTGATGGAGCCAGTTTTGGCACTTGAAATGATTGAAAACCTCAGCTGACATTGCAGCATCGGTGCTTATTGTTTATTCTAATATTTCAGAATATCCTGAAAAATGTCAAAGTAATACTTGCTAAATATTTGAGTGGCTTAAAGAACAGCCTACATTATGTTGCCTTATGGTAGGCCTATCTGCATGGTCACTTCTGATGAATAACAGTTTTGTTTTATTGCAGTGAATTATTTATTGGATAGAAGTGTTGCAGTGATTTAAATTGTAGATTTACTAAGCTTTTCAATTTCCTTTTGGATGCGGAGCTATGATGCATCGATACGATACGCGTATCGGATACGACACGTATCCGATACGGCGATACGATTATTTTAAAATATATAGGATACGATACTTGTAAGATACGTGTCATCGTATATATCAATGTTCATATATTATAATAATTGTGTACATGTAATTATGGTCAAAATTCATAAACATTAAATATATAATTGCTATTTTGCAAATCCAAATTAAAAACATACTTATTGTACATTACTAAAAATAAATAAATTATAAATCATTTCATCATAGATTACTTTTTATTGTTTACAAATAGAAATAATATTACTAATTTTGTTCCTTTCTTAAAATTATCTATATAGAAGATAATTTTCATTTACAGTTCATCAAAGACAAATATTTCTATGTTTCTATATTAAACATGTTTATATATCTTATTTAGCTGTAATGGATATTTTATAATTTTTCAAAAATTTGAATACTTTATCGATACGTATCACTAATAAGTATTGGTATCTGAGAGTATCGGAATTCAATAAAATTTTCATAATATTTTTAAAGACTAGGATACTTCATTGACACGTATCGGTGAAGTATCCAAGAGTATCGGATACGGATACGTATCGGATACGGATACGTGAAGCAAATTGAAGTATCGGTGCTTCATAGATGCGGAGGTAGCACAATGGTATAGGTGCCACTAGATTGGCCAAATTCAATTTTGTTTGTTATAAAAAAGAAGTTTCATTAAGGAAGAAAAAAGCAGTACAAAGCTGGAGGATAAATCATCCTCACGAGAAATATCTTTCACCATTTCCTATACAAATTAGTAAAAGCAAGAAAGAAAAATAGAAAACATTTTCTCAAACCAAAGGACCAAAGAATTTGAGTGGTGTTAACAAGGCATGCCAATCACTCTTCATGTATAACATGGAAACAGTCCTCAACTATCCATGAGCAGATCAACACAGACAAGCTAAAACAACAACCTTGTCCCAAATATGGAGCTGAAGTTCCGTTGAAATTTCTAGCTTTCCTTTCTGGCCAAACAAGAGAACCTTCTTCATGGAAGCTGAAACCTCTAAATTTAAAAAGTAAAAACAGACATAGATCCTTAGGGATGAACCACTTCTCAAGAAAATCCTTGATTGATGAATTCATATTTGTCATTGTTATAAGATATATAACACCATGCACCTTGTTCTGGCCCATGTGTAATTTTGTTTTCTAGTTGAATAAAAATGATCATATAATGTAAAGTTTGCTTTGACATTTGCTTTTGTCATGATTTTCTTATTTCTATTTCATTTTACATTGGCTACAGATAGGGCTACGGATTGAGCATCCTCAAGAACTAATAAACAGCATACAGGTTTGTATCCAGTCAAATTGTTTCAGCACCCTTGTTTTTTGATTAGTGTAAACTATACCCATGATAAGTGCCCATATCACTCATTAATATAAGAAGAATTCCAAATATCGTTTCCACGATGACTTACTAGCATAGTTTTAAAAACCGGACCGGTCATCGAACCGGTTAAGGTATTGGGTCAGTGGGTCAAAGGTTGAACCGGCGGGTCACTGGTTGAACTGCATGACTATATTAAATATATTTTATACTTATAAATTTTAATAAATTCATATCTTATTTTAAATTTCAATTTTTCTATCTTATTTAAAATTATTTTTATTTTTATTTTGTAAAAAAATACATAAAAAAATTACATGTTAAACGGTATATTAATACAAATTAAAAATATAAATAATATGTACATATATAATATGCTTGCAATTAATATCACAAAATAATATATGTAATATTTACATAGATATTGAATTATTAAATATATAATTTAAAATTAATAATATACTATAAAAGTTATTTAAGTTGTATATATTGCAAACAAATATATTAGAACAAGTAGTCATTGTTATATTTAATAAGACTTTGCTTTTTCATTAAGAGATTCAATTTTCGTTATTATTTTTGTGATTTATGGTCCCTTAAAATTTTTTTAAAAAAAATAAAAAAAAAAGTGGTTGAACCGGTTTGACTCACCGGTTGAACCGGAAAATTGACCGGTTCAATCCGGTTTGAAACGGGTCGACTGCATAACCGATCCAACTTCAGATTCGGACCGGCTGGACCACCGGTTCCCGGTCCAACCGGTCCGACTGGCCGGGTCGGTCCGGGTTTTAAAACACTGCTTACTAGTAATCATCAGATTCTCAAAACTTGTCAATTATCTAGTAAATTGAAATTGAGAGATTATGCAAATAATTTAAAAGTGATAGGATTTAGAAAGTGATATGCAAATAAGTTATCTAGAAAACATGTAAGTTATCTAGAAAATTGAAACCTGTAAGTTATGATTTAGAAACAACACAAGAACTCTAATGGAGCTATGGTACATATAGCTTGGGCTTCACTTGTATTCAATTGTTAATTCATATTTCTCAATAATTTGATATTTAACTTTAGAAGTCAATACCTACGCTAATTCTATTAGCTATCAATGGTCTTGATATACTAATATTGTATTGGAAAAAAAAAAAATCTCACATCGACTAAAGATAAGGCAAACAAAGATTTGATATGTGAGAGACATCCCTCACCTTATAAGTTGGTTTCGTATGATTGAGTTAGATCTATAAACCACATTCTAACATGATATCAGAGTTTTCTTAAATCCACTCTAAAATGGCTACTCACCATTGATACACACACAAGCCCAATAATGCTAAGCATGAGGCTCAAGTCCCACCTATTCTAAATCATTAAAAAGGGTCACCCACCATTGGAAATGTGTTGGAAAAAATCTAAATCCCGTATCGACTAGAGATAAAGCAAACAAAGAGTATGAGTGGGAGACAATTTTCGCTTTACAAATCAGTTTTGTGGGGTTAAGTTAGATCCATAATCCACATTTTAAGAACTTCTACGCCAATAACTAATAGTCTGTGCTCTAACTAAATTCCCTATTTGCTCATTTTAGTGTTGATTAAAGAGAGCACGAACTCTAAAGATGTTAGTTGACTTTGTTGACTATTTCAATTGGTGCATTCTTAACAGAAAATTTGAAATGATAGTGTGAATTCACAATGCAGTTGGTGCAGCATTTGTTAACTTTTTTATTGCATTCTCATATCAATCATGAATGGGGAACAAATATTGTAGGTTGGGGAGAGAGTTTTCTGCCCCATCATTTGTTATAAGCTAAAAGTGCCTAAGCTGGAAATTAGTCGCTTATTGACTGTGTAGTTTTTTATATCTTCCTTTTGCCATTATGGTAGGTATACTGTGAATTCGGGTTTTTTTTAATTCATACCATAATTATCCTGCTTGATAAGAACAAGGACCAATATAATTTTATCAAGTTGACAGTCCCAACTCCCATCAGCTATCTATCTATATTAACTAATAATTGGTGGAAAGAAGAGGAAATTGTGGTAACTTCACGGTTCATTATCAAATCTGATGATGGAGTAATTACCTTGTCCTATATTGATAAAAGTTTTTTATTTGTCAAAAAAGCTAATTCTCAGTTCTCACATAATTATTTATCTATTTGTCATGATTATGATGCATGCAATTTTATTCATTTAAATGTGTAGTATGCTGAATTGGCTTCCGAGGTTTGTCATGGCCGTGGTAAAATTCCAGTGGCAGATTACAAAGTTGCTAGTTACATTGACAAGGAGGATTTCTATGGAGCATCTGATGCAGGGGTGGCAAACCGAAGTTGCTACTCTTTTTGCATGTGTCCAGGTGGGCAGGTTGGTGTTCTCATTTTGCTTACGTATCATATATCACACTATTTGGAATGAGCTCTTTGTGGTGCTAGTCCATGCACCTAAATGTCATGGTATATATATTTACTGGTTGATTTACAAAGGGGACGTATGTCTGGCACATCTGGTTTCAGCTAGACAATTTGTATATTTATACTATTATATCAATGTTTTAATTTACCTCGGCTATTATTGGATGTCATCAACTGGTAGTGAACTACAGAAAATTGGAACTTTTAGGTTGTTCTCACTAGTACAAGTCCATCAGAAATATGCATCAATGGAATGTCATTTTCTCAGCGAGCGTCTAAGTGGGCAAATGCTGCACTTGTGGTGACAGTCACAACAAAGGATTTCGAAGCTTTGGATTATTATGGTCCTCTTGCAGGGGTCAAATTTCAGGTTGGTCTGAATTCTTTTAATCCTAGTTTTGTGTTCTTGTTAGGATGTATAATAAATAATGTCAGCAACAGTATTTTATTATTTCCTTATTTAGCAAATTACAATTAAAGCGTATAAGGGAAACATCCTTGAATTATATGGATCTGATTGCATATGTGCTATTATTGTATTTCTTAAATTAACTTTCCAGCCTTGTATATAAGACTGATGTATTCTCAGCATAAGAAATAATAATAAAAAAAAGGGGAATAACTATTTTCTGCCCTAATTCTTGAGATGGCATCAAAGCTCTCAAATTCTGTTAGTATATACGTGACACTTAATAATACATGTTTATGTTTTTATTTCATTTCCAATTTTATGTAATAGATGATGACTAATGAATGGTGAGGTGTCATTGAGGTTGTTAGAATTTGCTTTTTTGCTGTCAAGCAATTGTAACAAATGAGGTACTATTTCAGCCTGTGGGCCAAGGAAAATCAATACATCATCATTCAGTAATGTCTCTTTCTCTGAAAATTTCTCTCTGCAACATTTCTGCACATTTCTGCTCCTTACAACGGTTTCCATTCTTACATTGGAATCCCTGTTCTGAGCAAGGATAATTCTCGGTATACATCCCTGAATATCCAAACGGTCCCAATTGGTATCAGTGACTCAGGCGATTCATTGGCGATGGCTGGTGCGACTCGACATCAAGTTACGTTGGCTGATCTCGAGAAGAAGCAAGAAGAGTTTAATGTTCGATTAGAGCAAATATGTGCGAGTATGACCCGTTTAGATCACCTGGATGCTCGAATGGAAGAAATCAAAAGTTTATTAAGCTCTTCTCCTGACCACAACCACCATAACAGTTCAGCTGGTAGTACCGACGGTGGTTCCTCTTAGAACAAGAGTGGCAACAACCGTAACTCCTACTCTACTCGCATCTCTAAAGTGGATTTTCCTCGGTTTGGTGGTAAGAATATGAAAGAATGGTTGTACAAGTGCACACAATTCTTTTCTTTGGATGGGACGACCGACGATTCTAAGGTTCGTTTAGCCTCGATACATCTTGATGGAATTGCCTTACAATGGCATCTCAATTACATGCGTAATAAGTTCGATATCTATCCTTCTTGGTCTCAATACACTTCTGACTTAGCTCAACAATTTGGTGAGGTTTATGATGACCCACTCGCTGCTCTCATTCAAGTTAAGCACATAGGCAAGGTCCAGACATATATAGATGATTTTGAGCTCGCGTTAACTCAAGTAGCCTTACTTCCTGAACACTCTTTGAGCATTTTTTTAGCTGGTTTGGAACACGAAACCCAGATGAAGGTCAGGATGTTCAACCCCACTTCCATTTCTCATGCCGCTCACCTTGCAAAACTACATGAAGCTTCCAAAGCTCCTATCTATAAGCATGATGGTCGTATTCAGGTTCCTTCCACTAAATTCACAAATCCCCCTCCTAAACCTCCCTTTACCACAAGTGCACCTCCACCAAGTTCAAACCCTCGACCTTTACTAAATCGAATTCCCCGAACCTTTAATGTTGTCGAGATGGCTGAGAGAAGGGCCAAAGGACTCTGTACGTTTTGTGATGAGCCTTTTACTCCAGGTCATCAATTAAAACACAAAAGATCACAAGTTTTAGTGATGGAGTTGGATGAGGATGATCCTAATGAGGCAGGTGGCCATGCAGAAACTGAGTTGTTAGTGGATAATGTGGATAGTATTACAGTTGAGACTCCTAAACTCTCTTTGAATGCTATGACTGGAAATTCTAGTTTTCAAACTATGAAAGTGTCTGGATTGCACAGTAAAACAGTGTTGCACATTTTAATTGATAGCGGAAGCACTCATAATTTCTTGGACTTGGATGTGGCCAAGAAATTGGGTTGCAAATTGGAGAAAATTTCCCCATTGACAGTCACCACCGGGGGTGGTAATAAATTAGAGGCTCCGTTCATGTGTAAAGGATTTACTTGGCAGTTGCAACAAACTAATTTCACAGCTGACGTTATTGTTCTTCCATTGGGGTGTTATGATTTGATTTTAGGTATTCAATGGCTCACTTCTTTGGGTCCAATATTGTGGGATTTCTCTAAACTCCAAATGGAGTTTACCACCAAGGGTAAGAAGTTTGTTCTCCGGGGTGCTAAGTCCTCGGGTACCAAACTAATTAATAATAAATCTTTCTACCAAGCTGTCCAGCAAGGTGCTCAAATGTGTTTTTTTTACATGGATCAATTTGACAATCATGTGGAGGTTCCTTCTTGCCAAATGCAGGCTATGTTCGATACGACTGAACAAATCCCAACTAATATTGAGCTCTTGATTGATGAATATGCAGAAATTTTTGGGGAACCAGCTGAGTTACCTCTGGTCAGACCAGGTTTTGACCATTGTATTCCTTTGTAGGAGGGTACTAACCCCTTTAACTTGCGCCCTTATAGGTACTCCATTATTCAAAAGGACATTGTCGATAATATTGTTGAGGATATGCTACGGCAAGGACTCATTCAATATAGCAATAGTCCTTTTGCTTCTCCAGCTGTGTTAGTCAGAAAAAAAGGTGGTTCTTGGAGGCTGGCGTGGATTATCGGAGGCTCAACCAACTTACCATTAAAGACAGGTTTCCAATCCCACTCATAGAAGACTTAATGGATGAGTTATGTGGTGCTACTGTCTTTTCTAAGCTTGACTTGAAATCTGGGTATCATCAAGTTCGAATGAAAGCTGGAGAAGAATACAAAACTGCTTTTAAAACACATGCAGGCCATTTTGAGTACCTGGTGATGCCGTTTGGTCTCACCAATGCCCCTGCCACTTTTCAAGCTCTTATGAACCACATTTTTCATCCTTTTCTACGAAGGTTTGTCATTATTTTCTTTGATGACATTTTGATTTACAGTCCCACTTTAACAGATCATGTTTCTCATCTACACTTGGTATTTCAAACTATTCGGGACCATAAGCTCTTTGTCAATAGGGAAAAGTGTACTTTTGCTGCTACAAGAGTGGAATACCTTGGTCATTTTATCACAAAAAATGGAGTCTCTACTGATCCCTCTAAGATTTCCGCTATGGTAGATTGGCCTCAACCTCAAAATCTCAAACAGTTGAGAGCTTTTTTGGGATTAGCCGGCTATTATCGCAGATTTGTCTCTAACTTTGGCAAGATTGCAAAGCCTTTAACTGACATGCTAAAAAAGGAGGGTTTCACTTGGTTGGAGGAGTCTCTTGCGGCTTTCCACACTCTTAAGAAAGCCTTAGTTACAGCCCCTGTGTTAGCACTTCCAAATTTCTCCAAACCATTTGTGATTGAAACAGATGCTTCGGGCAAAGGCATTGGTGCTGTTTTGATGCAAGATCATCACCCTATTGCCTATATTAGTAAATCTCTGGGGCCCAAACACCAGGCCATGTCTATTTATGAACGGGAGCTTCTTGCTATTGTGTATGCTATTCAGAAGTGGAGTACCTATTTGTCACATGGTCCTTTTGTGATTAAGACTGATTAGAAAAGCATTAAGTTTTTGCTAGAACAAAGACTCAACACCCCTTTTCAGCAGGTATGGATGTCTAAACTCATGGGCTTTGATTTTGTTATTCAATACAAGGAAGGTGCGACTAATTTAGCAGCTGATTCTCTTTCAAGACTTACTGGGGCTGAACTATTGCCGTTGTTGTTAGAAAATGCTCAACATGGATTGTTAGACCAAATTAAAGCTATTTGGCTTTCTGACTCTACGTTGCAGCAAATTATTTCTGATTTAAAACAGAATCCTTCCTCTCATCCTAACTTCACATGGCATAGAGAGGAGTTGAGAAGAAAAGGTAAGTTGGTTATTGGTGAGGATTTAGCACTAAAAGATGTTATTCTCAAGTGGTTGCATGATTCCCCATTGGGAGGCCATTCTGGAAGAGATGTAACAGCAGCTAGAGTTAAATCTTTATTCTTTTGGAAAGGCATGCTCAAGGACATTCAACAATATGTCAGAAAATGCGATATCTGTCAAAAATGTAAACCAGAATTGGCTGCTTATCCGGGTCTCTTACAACCTCTTCCAATCCCTAATAGAATTTGGGATGCTATTAGCATGGATTTTATTGAGGGCCTTCCATCTTCTGCTGGACAGCAAGTTATCTTAGTTGTCGTGGATCGCTTGAGGAAGTATGCACATTTTTTACCCTTGTCACATCCTTACACTGCACTTAAGGTTGCTCAAGTCTTCCTTGATAACATTTTTAAACTCCATGGCATGCCTACTTCCATCACAAGTGACAGAGATCCCATTTTCCTTAGTAAGGTTTGGAGTGATCTCTTTCAACTCCAAGGGGTGGCATTGAACAAGTCCACAGCTTACCATCCTCAATTCGATGGTCAAACTGAAGTTGTCAATAAATGCCTTGAAACTTATCTTCGTTGCATGTGTTCTGAAAAACCTTCTTCTTGGTCTCGTTGGCTTTCTCTAGCTGAATGGTGGTACAATACAAATTTTCACACTGCCATCCAAACTACCCCATTTGAAGTAGTTTATGGTCAAGCTCCTCCTATCCATCTTCCTTATTTGCCTGGTGAATCTACTAATACTGCAGTTGACAGATCTTTAACGGCTAGAGAAGCTGCTATTAAACTCTTACACTTTCATTTGTTGCGTGCTCAGAATCGCATGACCCAACAAGCTAACAAGCATCGGAGTGACAGAGTATTCTCTATTGGGGATTTTGTTTATTTGAAGCTGCAACCTTACAGACAGCATTCCATGCGTCATAGTACTTTCCATAAGCTTTTACCAAAGTATTATGGCCCATTTAAGGTTCTGGATCATATTGGACAAACTGCGTATCAGTTAGAGTTACCTATTGCAGCTGCAATTCATAATGTTTTTCATGTTTCACAACTGAAGCCTTGCAGGGATCCTACTACCAGCCCCTTTCATCCTTTGCCAGTTGATGGGGATGCCTTTAGTACAAAAGGGGAGCCAGAGGCGATTTTAGACCAAAAGATGGTGAAGAGGGGCCACATAGCTGCTACAAAAGTGTTGGTTAAGTGGAGGAATTTGCCTCACGATCAGGCTTTCTGGGAGTTCTATGATCTACTTCACAAGTTCCCTCATTTCCACCCTTGAGGTCAACGGTGTGCTTATAGGGGCGGGTATTGTCACAGTATATACGTGACACTTAATAATACATGTTTATGTTTTTATTTCATTTCCAATTTTATGTAATAGATGATGACTAATGAATGGTGAGGTGTCATTGAGGTTGTTAGAATTTGCTTTTTTGCTGTCAAGCAATTGTAACAAATGAGGTACTATTTCATCCTGTGGGCCAAGGAAAATCAATACATCATCATTCAATAATATTTTGTCTCTTTCTCTGAAAAATTCTCTCTGCAACATTTCTGCTCCTTACAACGGTTTCCATTCTTACATTGGAATCCCTGTTCTGAGCAAGGATAATTCTCGGTATACATCCCTGAATATCCAAACGGTCCCAAATTCTGGGAGCCGCCTTTGACTGCGCAAACCAAAACCTTAGACAATAGCCTTCATTGCTGTTGATCATCCAAAAGCCCTAAATAACAGCCTTCATTGCTGTTGATCATCCCAAAACCCTAGATAGTAGCCTTCATTGCTGTTGATCATTCCTTTGAAGGCAACCTTCATTGTTGTCGTGATTTACAATACTATTGCAGCCATGGTGGAACCGGTTAACACAACAACTGAAATAGGGGATAATAACTTCCAAACCCATGGAGAGCTTCAGAGCCTCCACATTGCCTATAGATTGAATGGGAAGAATTACTTGAAATGGTCCCAAATTGTTCGTACTATTTTGAAAGGTAAAGGGAAAGCTAGCCACTTGTCTAGTGATGCCCCTAAAGAGGAAGATCCCAAATTTACAAAATGGGATGAAGAGGACTCTATGATCATGGCATATGGAACTCAATGGTCCCAGAAATCAGTGATACTTGCATGTTTCTTAATTCTGCCAAGGGGATTTGGAATGCCATAGAGTAGACTTACTCCAAAGCTAAAGATGCTGCTCAAGTATATGATGTGAAGGTGAAGACTGTGGCTGCAAAACAAGGAAACAAAATTGTTACAAAGTATGCCAATCAACTCAAATCATTGTGGATGGAGTTAGACCATTACAGGGTTATAAAAGCCAAGTGCCCAGCATATTCGACAATGCTCAAGTATATTGAGAAAGATAGAGTTTATGACTTCTTGGTGGGGCTTAACTCTGATTTTGATCAAGTGAGGGTCCAGATCCTTGTAAAAGAAAAAGTTCCAGGAATTAATGAAGTAGTTCCTTTCTTTTTTGGATTCAATGCTCTAGATACATCCTATAACCAATATTGGATATTAGATTCTGGGGCCACTGACCACATGACACCCTTATCTAAACATTTCTCCTTTTACTCCCCTTATCCTAGTAATAAGAAAATATCCACGGTAGATGGCACTTTCATCAATGCAGTAGGACAAGGAGAAGTTCAAATAAGCCCATCCATAAACCTAAAAAATGTCCTTCATATTCCCAAATTGTTTTAATGTTATTTTTTATGACAATGTTTGTATACTGTAGGACAAGCACTCAGGGAGGATGATTGGACATGCTAGAGAATGGAATGGCCTCTATTATTTGGACAACCCAAATCTGCCCCCAAACCTACACAACAATGGCAACCTTTTTTTCTTTGATTCAATAAAGAACAACAGGGAGAAGGTCCTCCTACAACACTGTCATCTTCGACATCCTTCCTTTAGAGTCATAAAATTGTTATTCCCTTGCCTTTTAAATAAATTAGATGTGGAGAGTCTTCATTGTGAAGTTCGTGAACTTGCTAAACACAAGTGTGTGCCTTTTCCAATTAGTAATAAAATGAGCACTTATCCCTTCTATTTAATTCATACTGATGTATGGGGTCTCTCAAACATCCCAAATGTATTTGTTGCCTGTTGGTTTCTTACTTTTATAGATGTTTGTACTCGGGTTACATGGGTTTTCTTACTAAAACAAAAGTTTGAAGTCAACTTTGTGGTTCAACAATTTTTCTCAATGATACAAAATCAGTTTGGTGTTAGTATTAAGAGGATTAGTTCTGATAATGCCAAAGATTACTTTAATCATGGACTTAATTCTTTTTGCCAAAAAAGGGGTATTGCGGAAAAATATAATGTATATTTCTCTAATTTGGGAAAAATACAAAAATGGTATAAATAGAATACAAGGGAATAAACCTGCACACTAATCTATCCTTGAAAATCTGGGAAATAATTCTCCCTATAAATGTTGTATCTAAATAATTAAAGGAGGGGAAATAAAATTGATCTTATTAACATTAAATCCTATTATGGGCTATACAAATCAGACTTGAATATTCTGATTGATATATGCTGATCTCCAACATATTCTGATTGATATGCATTGATCTCCAACACTCCCCCTCAATCTGGGTGGTAGATGTCTATCATACCTAGATTGAATCTAATGTTTTCATGTGTTCCTTGGAAGAGCCTTTGTTAGGATGTTTGCTGTTTGTCTGCATGATGGAACATGGTCAACACTTATAATACTGTGGTCAATTTTTTCTTTAATGAAGTGTCGGTCAATCTCCACGTGCTTTGTCCTATCATGGTGGACTGGGTTCTTTGCAATGCTTATGGAAACTTTGTTGTCACATAATATTCTCAATGTAACTGATGGGAATTCTGATTTCATCCAGCAACCTCTTAAGCCATATTCCTTCACAGATACCTTAAGCCATAGCTCTGAATTCAGCTTCTGCACTACTCCTTGCCACCACAGGTTGCTTCTTACTTCTCCAAGTCACCATGTTTCCCCACACAAAGGAGCAATAGCCTGTAGTTGATTTTCTGTCAGAGCGGCATTCCGCCCAATCCGAGTCAGTGTAGACTTCAATGCTTTTGTTTGAGTTCTTTTTGAAGTAGAGTCCTCAACCTAGTGTACCTTTGAGATATTGGAGGATTCTGTTCGCTGTTTTCATGTGGGCCTCAGTTGGATTAGATGTATAGCGCGACTAGCTAAGCTCACAACAAAACCAATGTCAGGCCTAATGTGAGTTAGGTAGATTAGCTTCCCAACTAGGCTTTGATATCTATCTTTATTAGCTGGTGGACTTTCTTCTTCACTTCTCTTTCCGGTATAGTGGGAGTATTGGCTGCCTTGCATCCAAGCATGCCGGTTTCTTGAAGTAAGTCCAATGTATATTTTCTTTGTGATACATAAATACCATTCTTTGTTTGAGCAATTTCCATTCCTAGAAATTATTTAAGCTGACCCAAGTCCTTGACTTCAAATTCCTTGGCCAAAATTCCCTTCAGATGCTTGATTTGATCATAATCGTTTCCTGTGATAACGATATCATCAACATAAACAATGAACAAGGCTACCTTCCCTTCCAAGGAGTGTTTGAAAAACATAGTGTGATTTGATTGGCATTGGTTGAACTCGTCTTCCTTGACAACTCGAGTCAATCTATCAAACCACGCTTTCGGAGATTGTTTAAGGCCATATAGAGATTTTCGCAGCTTGCACACCATGCTTGAGGTTCTGGATGACTTAAGTCCTGGGGGAATTTGCATATAGACTTCTTCTTCTAGTTCACCGTTTAGGAAGGCATTCTTGATGTCTAGTTGATAGAGTGGCCAATCTAAATTTGCAGCTAAAGAGAGTATGACTCGAATTGAATTGAGTTTGGCCACCGGCGCAAAAGTCTCTTCGAAGTCCACTCCATATGATTGGGTAAACCTTTTGCCACCAGTTGAGCTTTGTACTGGTTTATACTACCATCGACATTGTATTTGATGGAGAATATCCACTTGCATCCAATCGATTTCTTTCCTTCTAGTAGAGTGGTGATTTCCCACATGCCATTTTTAACCAAGGCCTAGACTTCTTCTATTACAGCTGCGGCCCATTCAGGTTGTTGGAGTGCCTCTTGAACATTCCTTGGGATATTTGTGCTGTCAAGAGCTGCCACAAAAGACCTATACCCCTGTGACAATTTTCCATAGGACACATATTTCTCAATGGGTTGATGAGTGCAAGATCTCACCCCTTTTCTTAAGGCAATAGGAATGTCAATGTCATCAATAGGTTTAGGATTAGGAACAATATTACCTAGGGAAAACTCATTTTTTGGAGCCTGGTTGGATTCATGGCTTTGCCTTGGATCTGTGCTGGACTCTATTCCCTTCCTTCTCTTCTTGAAGTACGTCATCCAGTTGTCTCCTTGTGTGGCTGGGCTTTGATTCTGCTGAGATGCAATCCTCTCTCTAGCTTCAATTGGTGCAGTTTCTATTGCATTTTCTTGTTCAATTTCTACTACAGATGCAGTCTCGGTTGGTTCTGCATTTGGGGCAGATTTGGTTAGCTCAAATCCCAAAAATTCTATTGCATTTTCTACATTTTTTACTGTAATTTCCTCTTGTGTAGGTGCAATATTGGTTGGTTCTGTATTTGGGGCAGATTCAGCTAGCCCCAATCCCAAAAGTTGGGATTCTACCACTTAAATTGGATAAGTCTGCTCCCCCTGAATGCCAACTTTGGGGTAATAAGGATGATTCTCAAAAAAAGTGACATCCATGGTGTGGTAAAATTTCCTGTTTTGGGGTGAATAGCATTGGTACCCCTTTTGGTGGGGGCAGTAGCCAAGGAAGATGCATTTGATGGATTTCGGGTCAAGTTTGTTGCGATGAGGATTGAGGTTGTGGATGAAGGCTGAACATCCGAATATTTTCAAGGAAATGGATGTAAGGATACGACTGGTAGGATATGAAGTTTGGAGAGTAGAATAAGGGGTGTTAAAGTTGAGGATTCGGGAGGGCATTCTATTTAAGGTAGGTTGCAAAGAGGACAACTTCTCCCCAAAATTGGTTAGGTACATTTGTAGCTAACATGAGAGATCTGGTCACTTCTAGGAGATGTCTATTCTTTCTTTGACGACTCCGTTCTGTTGAGGGGTATCTACACATGAACTCTGATGTATGATTCCATGTTTCTGAAGGTAGGAATTTGGTGTAGAGTGATAATACTCTCGGCCGTTGTCACTTCTAAGCACCTTAATTCTGCTTTGAAATTGTGTTTCCACCATAGTATGAAACAACTTAAATATTCCGCCAACTTCTAATTTCTCCTTCATTAGGAAAACCCTAGTGACCCGTGTGTGATCGTCAATGAAGGTGACAAACCATCTTGATCCAATGACATTGTTTACCCGTGATGGTCCCCATATATCACTGTGAATTAGGGAGAAAGGTTGAGGGGGTTTATAGGGTTGAGGCAGGTAGGAGTTACGGGTATGTTTGGATAATTGGCATATTTCACGTTGAAACAACTCTTGATTTTTATTGAATAATGTGGGAAACATTTTTTTCAAGTACATAAAATTTGGGTGGCCTAGCTAATAATGCCACAACATTACAAAATTTTTCCTATTTGGAGGTACAATTGCCCAAGAGTTGGCCTTGGGTTCCACTTTTGACTCTTCAACTTGGAGGAGGTAGAGTCCAGCACATTCTTCAGCATTGCCAATCGTCTTCCCCGACTCCAAAATCTGAAATTCACATAGGTTAGGAAAGAATTTAGTGACACTCTTCAAATCTCTTGTTAGTTTGCTAATGGACAACAAATTACAGTCAAGAATAGGCACATAAAGGACTGAATTTAGGGTAATATTTTGTGAGATAATAACTGAACCTTTACCCATGACCTTAGAAAGAGTCCCATCAGCTATCCGAACTGTGTAATTATTTAGGCATGGAGAATAGCTTTTAAATACAGTTAAGTCTCTAGTCATGTGATCTGAGGCTCCTGAGTCAATGATCCATGACTTTGGTTTTCCTTTGCTAGTATTTAAAGCATGCAAAAAATTACCTTTTTGTGCCACTGTAGCTGTACCAATTGTTTGCGAGAGAATTTTCTGTAGTGCTTCCATTTTCTCCTTGCTGAATGGAGATGGATTAGAATTTACCTCATCTGTGTTGCCCCTGCCATCCAGGTTTTTGGTCTGTTTTGCCTCTGAAGGTCTGCCATGAATGATCCAGTAGTGGTCCTTAGTATGACCTAGTTTCTTGCAATGTTCACTCCAAGGCCGGTTTTTCTTTTGAGATGTACGAGGATGGTTCCCCCTTGCTGCCATTGCTAAGCCTTCAATGGATGGGGCTGCACTTGACTTTCCAAGCATCACTTTCCTCCTGCTCTCCTCTTTTCTCACTTCCGAAAATACTTCTCGGATTGTTTTAAGAGGTTTGGTTCCAAGGATTCTCCCCTGGACTTCATCAAGTTCTGTGTTCAGTCCCAGTAGAAACTTGTAGATCCTATCTTTCTCCACCAAGTCTTTATACTTATTTTTATCCTCGGTACAACTCCATTGAACATCTTCATATATGTCCAGTTGCTGCCAATGTTGACTGAGTGTATTAAAATACTCGGTGACGGAGAAATCACCTTGTTGCAGGTCATGGAGTATGCTCTTGATCTCAAATACTGCAGACGTATTGTCCACATTTGAGTAGGTTTCCTTTACTGCATCCCACATCTCCTTGGTAGTATCATAGTACATGAAATTTTCCCTAATTTCATTAGTCATGGTGTTGAGCCACCATGAAATGACTAAACTGTTTTCTAGTTGCCATTTGTTGAGATTAGGGTCACCCTTTTCTAGACTCTTGGAGTCTCCTATGATGTAACCTTCCTTCCCTTTTCCTTGAAGAAAGATCTTAACTAATCGCACTTATTGAGGGTAGTTCTGGCCATTCAATTTGTGACCAGTGATAGGAAGAGCATGCCCTTCGACCAAACTGGTTTTCGAACCTTCTGCCTTGTTCTCTCCCATGGTTGGTGGCGCTAGGATAGGGATGGTTTAGATCGAGTTCTGATACCGTGCGGAAAAATATAATGTATATCTCTTTAATTTGAGAAAAATACAAAAGTGGTATAAATAGAATACAAGGGAATAAACCTGCACACTAATCTATTCCTAAAAATCTGGGAAATAATTCTCTCTATAAATGTTGTATCTAAATAATTAAAGGAGGGAAAATAAAATTGATCTTATTAACATTAAATCCTATTATGGGTTGTACAAATCAGACTTGAATATTCTGATTGATATATGCTGATCTTCAACAGATTCTGATTGATATGCGCTGATCTCCAACAGGTATCATTCATGAATCTTCATGTATCAAAACACCTCAGCAAAATGGGATTGCTAAGAGAAAAAAGCGGACACTTACTAGACCAAACTTGGGCTCTTCTTTTTCAACATAAGGTTCCTAAATGGTTTTGGGGGGAGGCTATTCTTACCACATGTTATCTAATTAATAGACTACCTTCTAGTGTTCTAGCCTCAAAAAGTCCTATGGAGGTTCTATCCTCTTTCTATCCTAATGTGGCAACATCCAATAAACTTGTTTCAAGAATATTTGGATGTGTATCATTTGTCCATATCCATAGTGGTGATAGAGAAAAACTTGATCCTAAGGCCTTAAAATGTGTCTTTATAGGATACTCATTCACACAAAAGGGATATAAATGCTATCACTCACCATCCAAACCATTTTGTGTCCAGTGATGTCACTTTTCTTGAGCAAGAAAGTTATTTCCACCAAGATCATCTTCAGGGGGAGACTATAAGAAAGGAAGATGATCCTCCTCTGATGCTCCCTGAGTTTAGTCTCGGACCAGAAGTAAGGACTAAATGTGGCAACAGATTCTGGAAAAGAGGCTCAATCCACCGAACCCACTAAATTCAATCAAGATGGGGTTGATGTAAGATTTGGGAAAAATCTTGTTCATACAAGGAAGACAAAGGCCATTCCAGAATCTGTCCATGTCCAAGAATCCAACCCAACATTAAATAAGGTAATTTCTTCTAATCCTGTAACCTCTAGTGAATCAATATCTGATTTCTCAATTACACAGGGACTCGAATCCAGTTCAGCACCACTTTATGAGGACCTAGACATCCCAATTGCCCTTAGGAAAGAGACTAGAAAATGTACCAACAAGCCATGATACCCTCTAGCCAATGATCTATCCTTTAAACACTTCTCCTACTCATAAAGCCTTCCTTACAAGCCTAAACACTACAACAACACCTAGCTCCCTATCTGAGGCTTTGACTAATATGAAACGGAAACAAGCAATGGACTTGGAAATGGAAGCGCTGGAAAATAATAGTACTTGGGAATTGGTTACTCTATCAAATGGAAAAAAAAAACCAGTAGGATGCAAGTGAGTGTATACTATAAAATACAAGGCTGATGGATCCATGGAAAGGTACAAGGCAAAGTCAGTGCCAAGGGATTCACTCAAACTTATGCAATGGATTATTTAGAAACATTTGCTCTGGTTGCAAAATTGAATACAGTTAGGGTGATATTATCCCTAGCGGCTAATTATGGTTGGAACTTGCAACAATTTGATGTAAAAAATGTCTTTCTCCATGGAGAACTTGAAGAGGAGATTTACATGGAATTACCCTTTGGATACGGTGGGAAAAACTACTGCCACCACTGTTTGCAAGTTGAAAAAGGTATTGTATGGGTTGAAACAATCACCACAAGTGTGGTTTGGAAGGTTTACTAAAGTTATGATAAGTTTGGGCTTTAAACAAAGCCAAGGAGACCACACTCTATTTGTTAAACACTCTAAGTCAGGGGGAGTAACTATGTTACTGGTGTATGTGAATGATATTATAGTGACAAGTGATGATGAAGAGGAGCAACAACAGTTAGGCCAACATCTAGCCAAGGAATTTGAAATTAAGACCCTGGGAAAATTGAAGTATTTTTTGGGGATTGAAGTGGCCCATAGGGATGGCAACGGGGCAGGGCGGGTACGGGTTTCATGATACCCGTCCCCGTCCCCGCGACTCAAACTCATACCCGTCCCCGTCCCCATACCCGTCGGGTATGTAAATTTTGTCCCGTCCCCGTCCCCGTCGGGTATCGGGTATACCCGTCGTACCCGTACCTGTACCCGTAAAAAAATTATTTTTTTTTACAAAAAAAAATATTTTTAACTTATCTTTATGTTTTCAAGGTATTATTAATTGTGAACAAAAAGTGAATCTCTAGCAAAGTTAAAGGGACAAGGCTGAAAGTAAGGATGCATCAAACTCAAAACAAGCACCTTCTTGGGTGAACACAAAACATCGCATATCGTGCAATTGCTGTTCTTAAAGTACAGGGTGGGAATGGAGGTGGCAAGGAACTTCCACTAAGTGGTTTCCCATCTTCGTCATCATTATGGATTGAGAAATAGGTATCTGGTGACAAACCTATTAACCTTATTGCCTCTTCCACAGTTTCAGACAAATTCTCACAGTAAACACCAACATGGTCCCCTATTTCATATCTGAAAAATAAAACAGCCATAAGGACAAGGAAAACGAAGAAACAATAGCGAGTGGACTGCGAGGGAAGGAAGAAAGAAGATTGAGCGAGAGAGAGACGTACCAGTCGTGGTGAGGGAGCCGCTCGGAAGGAGAAAGTAGAGGCTGGAGTGGCTGGTGCGGTGGCTCGGAGGGAGAAAGTAGAGTGCTTGGTCGGAGGCTGGAGTGGGAATGGGATTGAAAATTGAAACCCTAAGTTTGCGTTGCTCAGCGTGGCCTTTAGATTTTAGAACAATATTTGAAATGTTAATTTTTTTAAAATAATTAAACCGGGAACGGGTATATATTTAACCGGGGACGGGGATGGGAACGGGGACGGGGACGGGGACGGGGACGGGGACGGGGCGGGTAAGTATATACCTGTCTCCGTACCCGATTTCTTTTATCGAGTTTTACCCGTACCCGTACCCGGTCAAAGCGGGTATTCCCCGTCAAAGTCGGGACGGGTTCGGATATTACCCACGGGTACGGGTTTATTTGCCATCCCTAGTGGCCCATTCTAAAAAGGGTATTTTCATACCCCAATAGAAATACATTACTGATTTGTTAAAAGAAACAGGTAAGACAGAGTGCTAGCCTGCAAGTACACCAATTGATCCAAATCTGAAGTTGGGAAACGCAGAAGAAGATATTGCAGTTGACAAGGAAATGTACCAAAGACTAGTTGGCAGATTCATTTATCTCACACTAGACCTGATGTTGCATTTGTTGTGAGTCTAGTCAGCCAGTTCATGCACCAACCAAAGGAGATCCACTTACAGGCTGTACTAAGAATTGTGCAATATTTGAAAGGGACCCCTGGTAGGGGAATTTTGTTCAAATGGAATGGGAATGTAAGTCTGCAATCATATACAGGAATGTAAGTCTGCAACCATATACAGATGCTGACTATGCAGGGTCAATTGTGGATAGGAGGTCAACTACAAGATATTGCACTTTCCATGGTGGCAATCTTGTGACTTGGAAGAGTAAAAAACAAAGTGTGGTAGCTAGATCCAGTGCTAAAGTAGAGTTCAGGGCAATGGCAAAAGGGATTTGTGAGCTACTATGGCTGAGGATCATCTTGGAAGACTTGAGAATAAAGCGAGATGAACCAATGAGACTTTATTGTGATAATAAATCTGCTATCAACACAGAAATCACTTTAACATATAACATTAAAATGCACATGTAATGGACACGAACTACATATTATCATGCATGTGGCGCCAGTAACACATCACATGGTGAATTTCCGCTAGCAAGACACGTAGAGTAGTCTAGGAGTACATGTCGGGTCACACCCTTTTATCTGAAACACTAGCACATTTGTTAGAGATAACAATATGAATTATATTTGTCTCATTCAAAACCTTACTAGGAATTTCTTCGTTTGACTTAACAAAAGCTTGGGGATTAGTCCTTGGGGATAGCTCGTTTATAAGTCCCAGTCTCGCCCATTGTGTGCATGGGATGTATCTTGCACGGCTTAGCTATCCCGACTAGACCCTGATAGTATGTCCTTCTAGTGAGAGTGCGTAGAGGGTGTGACCCGACATGTACTCCTAGACTACTCTACGTGTCTTGCTAGCGGAAATTCACCATGTGATGTGTTACTGGCGCCACATGCATGATAATATGTAGTTCGTGTCCATTACATGTGCATTTTAATGTTATATGTTAAAGTGATTTTTTATGTCTTGGATGAGTGGGATGTGATATTTTTGTTAATCCATCTATGTTATGTACATATACATGTCTTGTTTGTGTTTGGCTATCCAGTGTGTATTCTTACACTGTGAGCCAAAGTGAGATATTTCTCACTCCCTTTTCTTTTATGTTGTTTTCCTTTGGTTGTTATACAGGTGATAATCAACATTAGGCTGAGGATGTTGGTGATGAAGCTTAGGCTTCAATGCTGGGCTTTTCTCTGATAGGACATGTTACATCCGGGCGTAGATAAGATTAGATTAGGATGTTGTTTCTATTAAATTATTTTGAAAAGCTTAGCCTTATTTCTTTCGTAATTTCCACTGATTATGTTATTTGTTTAAGTCATCGATGTGGTGCTCTTTATCTGAACACGTTTGGTATTTTAAAAATGAAAGATTGTGTTATTCAAATTTTATTATTTATGTGTTATGGTATGCGGGGTAGAGGGTGTCACATGTGAACTTACCCCTAGGAACAGTAGATTGAGGATGTTGAAGTGACTAGTAAATTGATGGATGAGATTAGAGAAGCCTAGGAGTTAGATTCTTTCTTAGTGAACCAAGTGGAGAGGATTGGTATGGGTATATATAGCCCTTTCAACGCTCGATGTATGTAACACAAAGACCCCTCTTGGAGTCACGTCGACAGTGTGAGGGCGCGCCCAATGTGGTATCAAATTTGCACTTATGTAAAACCCAATTTTTGGTCTAATCTACCTGAAAACTAGCAACCTTCCAACATGCATTGCATAAAACAACATTTAGGCACCACAACAACTCGAAAACAACCTCATTTACAACATGCAAATATTAAAACCCAAACAATCAAAACTCTTTCTAGCACAATCAACAACTCAAGGACCCACTCTCATTCTCCTTCTGAATCATTCATAACAACCAACAATTTGAAAAATTTCAACAACAACATCCAACATAATACATCAATTAACTCAATTTACAACTTCCTTTATCTATTAAAGAATCTAATCTAGAAGAGGAAAAGAAAACCCACTTTTTACAACTTTGACTCCATAAGCTTTGGTTTTTTACTCGACAAGCTCAAAATCAAAGTTACCATACCTTAATCAACTACAAGAAAAGAGAAAGATCACTTGGAAAAGAAGGAGAAATTGAGACTCTTAAAGACCCTCACTAGCCTCTCAATAGGATCCTTGAAAACTTAAGTTATGAAGCCCACACTTCAACAAACCCTTTTATATATACCTTCTTGAATTGATTCCACTTATCTTTAGTTCAACTATCTAGAGACCAACTTACTCTCAAAATCCCCTTGACCCAAAGTTCTCAACAACAGTTAACATCTAAACAACAAAAATTCATATGATTAATAAAATAGACATAAAATCAACAATGCTACACCATATGGAAAGGTGCATAAGGTGTGATTAGGTGTTAACATCCTAGATCTAGAAGGACAAATGACAACTTGCCACATGACCTGGTGCT